AATAGTTCACTGGGCACTTTTTACTTTCTGCATAATTAAGCCTATAAGCCAATTGATTTTGTCCAAATGAAAGGAAGGATATATAAAAACTACATAAATGATCATTAATATTTGAATACATTTTATTTTTCTTATTGTAGTATTAAAAGTAATATATTAGTCACTAACATTATCAATAGGGAAAATAAAAAACTTATTCAAACAGTAGTGATCATCTGTGTAGTTTACCTTTTAACATATGGGTAAATTTTATACTTTTCATCAATCATACTTCTTCTTACCTCTAATTTTGATTATTAAAGTATACAAAACTTTAATTTAATCATTCAATTTTGATATTGTGCCTTTTTTGTCGTGAGACAGTTAAATAACAAATTGTGAGATGACACGTTAAAATGACGTTGTTTTAACTCCTATAAAATATTAAATTTAGACCAAAATGATGTCGTTTTAAAAAATATTTTCTTTTTCATTCATTTTTCTTCCCTTCTTTTCCCCTTTTATTTCTCTTATTTCTTTCTCTCCCTCTTTTGAAATTATCCATATTTTTACCATCACGTTGTCTATTGTTTTGACCAGAGTCAGTCATTACCATCGACTATTGATTAGTCTCATTTTTCATCAAACTTATTTTGTCCTCCTAGATACGAATCTAATATCTATGTAACCGAAAACACTAAATTCATAAGTCTAACGTTATTTCACTATAAATGTAACACCCTAAATTTTGAGTCAGTAGTTTTGAGTTAAACCAAGAGGATTTTAGATAAACCCATTAAACTTGTATAAAATCTTAGTCCAAAAGTGAATTGGATTTGGGCTTGGATTGAGCCCAAATAGGTTTTTAGGAATTGATAAATTAAGGTTTTTAGGAATAGAGGGTCTTTAAAAAGGAGAGTTCACAATCGTTCACTGTGGAAGAATACCTCGCATGACAAAGTAGTGTCAGGTCAGTCGGGTTAACGCGTCATATAATTATTTTATTTCCTCAATAACAACTATTAACAATAAGTGATCGATTTGTTATAAATCAATAACGTTAGTGATTGATTGTGAGTTTTGAATCATCAATTAAGAAACAAAATAAAATTAATCAAACATTGGCTATCATTTATGTAGTTTACCCTTTTTAAAGAATTTTAACCATCATTGTTTAAGTTATGAGTCAAAAAGTCTTTTTTTAATGAAAATCATTACTTAACTAATAAATAATATTTATTACTGACGTGATATTTTTACATGTACTAAATTATTTGTGTCATGTCACTAAAAGTGACTGAAATATATCTTTTTCAAAATTCAATGGTCAAAATCAGACAAAATTTAAATAAAAATAACTTCTTTAATAATTTATCTAATAAAAATAAAGGTATAATATCAAAATCCACTTTTTAATACCTACATGAATAGTAACTTTGTCCTCTATTTTTTTTTAAACATTTTAACTCATAATATTTTAATTTTAGTAGATACCATTTTTTATATAAAAAAATATTAGTCGATTAATCACTAATATTTATTATTGATGTGATATTTTTACATAAATTATAATATATATCATATTAATTGTTAAGTATATAGAAATATTACTCCATCAACCGATGTTCATTGTTAATTAACTAATAATTTATATAAAAATATCATTTTAAAAACTAAAATATTAAAAGTTAAAATACTTTTTTAAAATATATAGACAAAAATAATTATTTTATTAATTTTGATATCATATGTAAAATAAAAATATTTTATTTATTATTTTTACAATTCACGCAAATCCACTCATAAATTTTAGCTGACCCTTATTCCCATATGTAATAGGGTAAGGGGGAGGTATGATAGTAGGCTGCCCCCAACGCTAGATTAAGAGCAGTTTCCGTGGGAGACCTTCGAATTATGAATTGCCCACCGTGAAACTTGATCCTACGACCACTCATAAAATGCATGCTAAAACTTTCTCTTACCCATCAAAATCTTCATCTTTTTATTCCCTTCTTTCACATTTCTTCTTAATCGCCATCATCTTTGATATTACATTTTAACCATTACCCCTTCAAATTCATTATGATGTACAACCCAATTGCATGCTAATAAGATCAGGTTTTTTGTCCACTTAGATCAACCCAAAAATTAAATCTTTTAATCTGCTTTCGATTCAAACGAGTTTAGAAAAATCCTACCTAAATGTATAATTATTTTTATTAGATGAAATAAGGGTCTATTTGAAAAAAATAGAAATTGATATTATTACAATTCTCTCTCTATTATAATATTATATCGAGTGAGGTTGTATTCAGTTTTTTATCCTAAACAAAGTCTCGGCCCGAACTGAATCCATCTTATAAAAATTATCTAACATTATTTGAATTTGAAAAATCAAAATAAAAAATCAACTCGACCAAATCGAGTCAAATAGAAACTTATCAAATATGGATGAAACAGTCATCCCTGCATGTTTCCCACAACTCTATGAAAGCCCCTCGAGGTGATAAGTTTAAATAAAAAATATTTTTTAATTAGAACTCATTATCTCGACGTGTCGAGGTCCATAAACATTGAAAAAAATGTTGTAGGTTCTACTTACCTTATTTTCCCTAGGAAAATAAAACCCTAACTTACGCTCTATGCACATACATAGGTTAAATGGGTTTGGGCTTAAAATGTAGTGGTGGAATTACACTTGCATGATGAGACTCCAAATGGACCGTCGATAACTTGATGCTGCCTGCAATTCTTCTGAAATTGGATCTGCACAAAGTTGGAAGCAAAAAGCAATTGACAAAGGGTCAACAAGGCAGCAAAGTTGGTGAATGGTCCACAGTCAATCAACTAAAATTTCATCTTCTTTTCATATAGTCAACCCCCATAAAGGTAACGCTTTTTTGTCATCATCTCAAGGTAGAGATAAACAGTCGATTAAATTATAACGAATGGTCACTATCAGCCCTGCAAATATGAAAGGAGTGCATTCAGATTTACGATTTCTCCAATGCCTCTTGATTGTTCGGGTTGAATTTAGAAAAATGGGGATGCGGCCATTTAATCTGGGAAAAGTGTAAGTGGTCCAGAAAGCAAAGAATTTTGAAAAAAATTATCAGTGTTTTGTTTGCAAGAATCTTTGCAGGGTTTTTGTTCCCTTTCTTCTCCGGGATGGACCAGAACACATCTCCATCTTTGGACTCACTCGATCAGGGATTTGGATTTTTTTTTTGTTAACAACAATATTCCGATTCTGAAAGTTACAAGCAGTTGATCCTTTTGATTTGAACAGAGAATCGTAGTAAGTAATTCATAGTAAAGTTAGAAACATATCCAAAAAGGAGGAATCATAATTACATCTAATTAATGATGGTTAAGGAGTCTCAAGAAAAATGTAAGGTCTATGATCATAATTGTTACTCATAGGTTGTTAGATTAAATAAATATAACTGTCTAACAGTAGATTTTAGATCATCTCCAGCCCTTATCTCTACTCTAGAGCATCTCTATCTTTACTCTAGAGATGAAACAATAATTCATCTCCAGCGCTATCTCTACATTACCATCAATTTTACTTTATTCATAATATTTAACTATTATAATATTAATTTTACAAATATAAAAAAATCAGAAAAAATAGAAAAAAATCCAAAAAAATTACAAAAATATTAGTATGATTACTTATCTAATTTTAATATATTTTTATCTATTTTATAATTTAATATACTTTAATTTAAAAAAAACAAATGTAGCGTTAGCTACAGTACCGCGCTAGATGTGGCGCGGTACTGTAGCAATCCTTCACTGTAGTGTAAGATGTGGCGCAGGGCTGGAGCTGTTTTTTTCTCCACACTGGAGATATTGCTGAAATGTGGCGCAACATTGGAGATGGTCTTAGCCTGACGAATCATGTGAGATCCTATCAAATGTTGCCGTTGATATAATTCTCCCAACGATTCGATTATAGAAGTTTTTCTAAAGATTCTGATTGTAAAAGGAGTACAAACGAAGAGTCTAAAGAGGAAATCCCTTATTATGATATTAGTGTTGGTATAAATAATGGTAGATCCAAAAATATTTTCGAATGTGTATTTATATATATAACATAAATTTTTTATACGATAGACATAAATCAAATATACTTTCATTTAAATATATTTTCATTTTATAAAGATATACGTTAAAATCTACCTATTTCATTTAAATATACTTTCATTTTATAAAGATATATTTTTAAGTTTTTGCTTAGAGCCCCGAAAATATCGGGGACGACCCTGCTTGTGGTAAGAACATTTGGAGGAAATATAATAAGTTTGCATTTAAACACATCATAATTGATGAAGTCAATGTGCAAGAAAGATTCTTGCGGATGAAAACAAAAGCCCAAAAGGAAAACGATCAACCTGTATTATACTATACAATTGATTGTGATGGAAACTTCGAGGGTTTGGAATTCAACAAATACGCATTGTTTTGTTGTACCAACAACATTATTTGTGTGATTTAGTGTTTGACTCTGCAATTATACGCCTGAATGTGAGGAAATGCACTTCTAAATTAAAACTTCAATTAATGAAGAACGCCGGCCAAGGTGATCCTTTCAATTTCACATTATTTTGACCATTTCATTCCTAGGAGATTGTGACCCTAAACTTATAGTTATTTGAATCCTTCATTCAAAAATAATAATAAAGTAAATTGAATACAAATAAATATCCAAATTTGTATTATCTAATGCGGTTTTTCACAGGGTTCAAATTCTCTTATCTCTGTTTAAGAAGTCGTGAACTCAGTGATAGCATGAAATGTTATTTTTCCTAGAGGTCTCACATTCGAGAAATTGCGTTTACATGGTGTATATTCATTATTAATTGACAAATAATAGTAAGATTTTAACTATAATAGTTTTTGTTTTTCATTATGGAATATGTTGTTTTCTGGTCCATGGGGCAGCCCATGAAATCCCATAGTCACCCTTCTGGCTGGCTTTATAAGCCTAATTCCACATCTCTAACTTTTCAAAGATTTTTAACTTTCCTTGTGCTTGTAATTTTCCCTAGAAAGAAGAAGTATGGAGGAAAATGAAAAGCTCCCACGGAAGAAAGCAAAACACAAGCTCTCACATGGTATGAAACTTCTCATAAATCTTTTCTTTTTCCTTTTCTCTTCTCTCTGCCCTCTCACCACTTCTTCTCATCCTCTTACAATATGTATGTATATATATATATATATGCATGCAGATGGAATTATTACGATGAAGGCCGAGCAAGTACTATCAAAGAATGATGCCACCGATGAATCCCGATATGGTGTCGATAGTTTCATAGACGACTCTTTTTCATCTTAATTGGGTGCTATCCTACCTGAGCTTTATTTTTTTTCTTTTGTTTTTTTAATTTATTTATTTTTATAAGTTTGATCTTCTTGACCTTGTAAGACCTTTTCTTGACCTTGTAAGACCCAGTCCAGCATTTATAACTCTTCTTCTCCTTCCTTGTCTATCCCTCCTGAGCTATTTCAAACTTGTTTCCTGCCGTTGACATCTAGTAAGTCACATTCGGTGCCAGATAAATTCGAAGTATAAGCGAATCATTTTACATTTGTATTGTTATAGTGTTAAAAGGTCAAATGTTGTAATGAAGGGTGTAGAAAATATGCTTTAGCAGGCACCAGTTTCGTTGTTTTATATGTTGTTGGTCCAAAGACTAAGATGTGAGAGATAATAAAATTCAAAATATTCCCTCAGATATTTTGTCGTGCAACACTTTTCCTCCTCGTGACTTCTCTTTATGTGTTTTTTTTCTTTCTGTACTACCACATCTCGTTCCTCACATTTATCTGCTCTATTATTCGAATATTTCAAATCGACTAATAACATTATAAAAATAAAATAATTAAATTGTATTAAATTAAATTAAAATTGAGAATTGAAGCTAAAAAAGGAAAGAGAAAACATGGTTAACTTCCTTAATTTGATGATATGTTTTTTATTCAGTTTCTTCTTTAATCCAAGACAAGTGGGATTGAAGTACTCAATTTGGCAAATGTAAGTCCAAAACTCATTTTGTAACATTGCTGATGACTAATAGAGTTAATGATATGTTCAGTACATATGTTTCAATAAAAACCCTATTTTGACCCTTGACTCGGTAGTTCTTCGTGGGAAAATTATATAATAAGAAACTTAAGATAAGGGCAATTTTGTAATTTTGTAATAATTTATGTAATTTATTTATATGTTGCTTTTTCTAGAGTGTCTGGGTTCAAACAGTTGCATCTATAAAATTTGTGTACATTGTTGATGATTAATTTTTTTGAACATATATTATTTTATAGTCACCCCAAAGACCCATATTATTCAAAAAAAAAATTATCTTATAATCTTAAACTGCATAGAGGGAAGTAAAATCTTGCACGAACCAAGTCACCTCAAGGGTTAAAAGAATAATTATTATTTCAAAAAGTCACAAGTTCGAGCACTAGAGACGGCAAGGTAACGTTCATTTGTCAAATGGTTAAAAGTCTTTATAACATATATTATCACTTATAAACATCCTAGATTAATAAAAAAATTAAATTTTAAATCTAAAAATAATAACAGAATAGGAAGATAAACTTTAAACTCTTAATTTCAAATTTAAATAATTATATTAGGAAATAAAAGGAATCCAAAGTGATTTCAACCGGACACTCATCCATCTAATTCTAAACCACACAAATACATTTATGTTAGAATAACGTGTCTTTCATTCCTTCCTCTTCTAACTCTTCTTATAAATATACATATATAACTATTAGAGTAAATTACACGTTTAATACTTAAATTATCAGTTTTATTATGTTTTAATACTTAATTTTTTAATTTTTTAAAATCATGCCTAAATTTTAGTTTTTGTTTTATTTTAGGACTCAATTATTAAAAACTTTGGTTTTGATTTCATTTTAGTATTCCGCCATTAAAAAAATAGTTTTTGTTTCATTTTAGTATCCTATTTAAAATTTAACATTAAATTTTGAAAAAAATTGAAAGTTAGATACTAAAGCGGACCAAAACTGATAATTTAGGTACTAAACACGTTAAGATTTAACGGCGGTGTAATAAAATAAAATGAAAACTAACATTATGTATGCTTTTTAAAAAAATTGAAAGTTTAAGTATTAAAACAGACCGAAATTGATAATTTAGGTACTAAATGCACAGTTTATCCTAAATATTATATTGTGTATGATAAGATTCTTTGAACTCTTATTGTAAATCTATATCCATAATTTATATATTATTTAAAACTATCTAAAATAAGGAATATGAAATAGTATATTAATATGATTAGAATTGCTATATAAGAAATTTTGAAAGTTTACCATTTATATTATCGAACAATATAATTATATTTTGCAATTACTTATTACTACCATATCACATATTTTTATATTATAAATTAAATATTTAAAAACTCATTATTAAAAGTAAATTTTCAATATTCAATTTATCAAACAACACTCACATGATTACAAACAAAATTAAAATATTGAATTATACTTATTTTTATTCCTATTTATTATTATTATTATTATTTATTATTATTATTATTATTTCACTTTTATGATATAATCAAGGTATATTTTTGTTGATCATAGATGATTCATTCCTTTTGGTTTAGACGGATAATCGTAGTCGGTTATGATGCAATGGTTGATCAGTGTTTAAGTAATTTGTCTTTATAAAGAAGTAGAAGAGGGATGAGTGAAGAAACATTTTCTAAATTTTTCTATCGGTCTTGATCTAGAAGTTTTATAGTAACCTTAGGGTGATGTAACACCCCAAATTCCGAGCTAGTAGTTTCGGATTTACTCGAGAGGTAATTAGACCTCGTGAAATTCATAAGTAAAGTCGTTGGGCTTAATTGGGTTTGGATTTGGGCTTAATTAGCATTGAAAAAGGTATTTTAAATTTTAGAAAAACAATGAAGGACTAATTGTACAATTTCCCCTTTTGCAAAGATGAGGGTTTTATATCTCATCATATTTCTCTTCTCTTCATTTTCTTCATTTTCTTCTTCTTCTTCTTCATTTCTTCTTCTTTCATCTTCTCTAAGTAGTTATAATTCCAAGGTAAGGTCTTGAACCCTTTTCTTGTTTCATTTTCATTCTTAATCCCCCTTGCAACATAGTTTTAAAGTATTAAAGCATTGGTTTATTCCTAACTAAAGAAAAATGTGGATTTTTATCCAAACCACCAAGGAAATGATTTTGGTTAAGCAAAGAGCTTCATTTCATGATTAAATCATCAAGGCAATGTATTCCTAATCCTTTAGAGTATTACATTTTTCATAAATTTAGAGATTTTGCTAAGATTTGGTGATTTGAGTATTTTAGGGTTTGTCTTTGATTTCTCAAGTAAATCATGATTTAAGTGTTAATAACACATTTTTATGATACCTTAAGACTCTAAACAACTTATTAAAGCTTCACAATAAATTTAGAAACCAAACCAAGTCATTTGGGATGATTTTTGAGTGATTCTCAAGCTTAAAAAATTATTTCAGGGTTTGAGCATCGATATTGATTAAATTGGGACTAAAATTAGGGATTTTAGAAGGGAACGCACCAATACTCCGGGTAACAATATCGATACTGAGACCCCATTTTCATAACGTAATGCATTTTTGGTAACGATGCTCATAGGAGATACTTGACCCTAGGGTATCAATATTACAAGTAGAGTATCGACGTTACTCACTTGGATGGTTAGATTTGACCCGTTTAAGGCCCGCAAGAGCTAAATGCGATATGTAATAGTAAGACTTAGTCCGTGACGGACATAAATGACCAAGCATACCTAAAAACACTCATAGGAGTATGTTACATCAGAAGTAACCATATTAAGCGTAATACGCCAAAGTATCTTCAATCGAGTATGTATACGGATAATGGGATTGAGGATCATTACAAGAGATATTCGATAAGCGATACAATATTTATGTCAGATTCAGTGGTAGTAAAAAATATGAGTTTCGAGAATGTCAGTGAAACCAGGAAAAGTAAGCCTCATATTTCAATTCAAGAGGTTCTAAAGGGAAGTACGATAAGATTGAAAAGAGTATCGCTTCTCATAAATGAAATCGAACCAGATATCGAGCTAGCCAGTTACACAGTTAATAAGTAAGCTTTCACATAATGTTCTAGATGAGAGAATGAGCGAGATAACAACTAGTATGACATTGACTTCACTTTAGTGAGTCCATCTATGTTAAGGTATACCCAGGTTATCTTAGTTGCCCTAGTTGGGCATTACCAGTGCGCAAGGCACTTTAATGGCTAACTAGGGTGAAAGGCCCGAACACTTGAGATGAGTGGATTAGCGATGTCAGTGTTATGTGGCATGTGGGCCTTAGATATGCAAATGTAATTATATTTGTTCAATTCAGTTGAGTAAGTTTTCAATGCACGTAAATTTTGATTCTTACCCTAGTCTATTTTGTATTCAGGGTAGGCTGGGGCATTGCTTCGAGATGCATGTAAAATTCCTCTGACCACACCACCAGACCTATCTCATGTTTGTTTGTTTAATTCATGCATGTATAGTCCCATCAGTCTAGCATATTAGATATGTTAAAGCTTGGCTTGAAGGCTATGTGAGACCGAGCCAATGCTTCAGTTTGTGCGGGAATTATACCGATGATATGTGACGTCAGGTTCCCCTTTAATGGTCTACCTGATGGCTCTGTGAGGACCAAGAGATCATTCAGTATGTTATGTGGGAACTGCACCGATGCTATGTGACATCGGGTTCCCTTAGTAACTAGGTCTGAGAGTTATGTGAGAACAGATACTAGTCATGTTTGCATCCAGATGATGCATGTCATGTTTGCATTTAGATAATTCACAGTATGTTAAGTTCACATTTAGATAATGCATAAAAGTTCATCCATTAGGGTTAGAGACCCTTTAGAGGTGTACTCGTGGTGAGGCCCTTAGTAGGGGATTAAGGGAAGCGTGAGACCCCTACTTCAGTGATAGAGCAATAAAGCCTTAAGCAGGCAACACTTGATCTAGGTCATGCATGCACCTACTGTTTAGTACCTTGTCTTCGGCATGCTTTTGTTTTTAAAATTCTTATGTTGCTCTAGATTAGCGATTATACTGATGGGCTTTGTAAGCTAGCCTTCAGATATTTTCCGTTGGCAATTCAGTAGCTTGGACAGTTCATGAAGCGTCGTCGCAGCAGGACTTCCAGCATCTCCGACAGAGTACTGTACTGTAGCTTTAGTGGGCATGTGTATTCATAGAACCTTACTCATATATTCAGTTTATTAAACTCATTGTTGTATTGTTTTGATTTTAAATTATGTGTCATGGAGATCTGATTTTGTAAAATATTTTATAACATTTATTTATGTTCTATTATGACACTATTCAGTATGTTGGAAAAGAAAATGAATAGGTTTTGAAAATTAGGGGTTGCCTCGGTGGCCCAATGTGGCACTTTAGGCCAAATCGGGTTTAAGGTGTTACAGTTGATGTCAGAGATAGAATCATTATGACTCTTCATAGGTTGACAAGCTCAATAGATATGACTGACTGACAATAAATTTTGGTCCTAATATTCACATGGTGTCTATAAGAGATCATGCCAAAAGGTTGTACTTCTCCCGGGAAGCTAAACTCTTTGGTCCTCGTATGTTCTCTCAAGTTTTTATTCTCGGGGGAGGCCTTGACATGTTTTTTATTCTCGAAAGACAAGTTCTTTGAAAA